TAATCAATCCATCATTAAATCAGATAATTTAGTTTTATTAAACGAGTTGAATATTAATTTGCAATTGGCCACCATAGAGAGTTTCTAAGGCTGACACTTTTAGTGTTAGCGTTTCATTCACTCTGGCGAAGGCCTAACGCTCGAAGCTTCAGCCTCAGAAACTCTCTCTAGTGGCCAAATTACATTATCAACTCAGTTGATGGAAGAAAATTATTTTTGAATACCCCACAGAGACGCACCACCCAATTTCCATAGAAACTTACCCTCTTCATCATTATATCAGTTTGTTACTCAATCAATTTACCAATCAACTGCAAACAGTCATTCAGAGGATGAATCCATAGACGGATCGATTTACTGGTCAATTAACGATTTTTGTATTAGCTATTTGACAACTATATGCCAATTTTTTAGCTTTGAAATGCCATTAATGTTTTCATTACGAATTTGAACTTAACCATGATCGGATTCTTATCTTACTCCCGTAACTGTTGTTGTTCATTTCCCATCTTTATATCTAGATTTCGTCGAAAGTTTATCATTGTGGTATCGTTTATTCTATCGGCTGCGGGAGCAATTGGCGCACTTCTTTTATCAGATAATGATGACGACAACGGTAAAATGAACCCTACTAATTAATGGACTTTCCAGAATCTAACAAAAGTGTAATTAAAATGAAACTTTAGAAACTGATTGTGCAGACAGCATGTGTCGAAATATTCTCAGAGTTTTCCTCCTGATCATAAAGTGGGGTCTTATCCACACACATGATATGTGCATCGTAAGAACCATGTCCGTGTAAAAATCCACGTTTTACCATTTTATAACAGGATAACGTACTGCGAAGGACCAAGATAATATAGCGGTCAAACGTCTACGCATATGCAAACTTCTTGATGGCTATGAAGTTTAACTTTATGCTGTCAGAAACAAGTTTTCGCAGAAACAGGCTAGAGAGCAATGGCCTTTTAAAAGTATATAACTTATTAGATGAAGCCAAAAATCAAATCGTAAATCAACAAGATGCCTGTCAGTACGGATAAGCTTTGTTTTTTGAAAAGTCTCGACTTTTTCTTTTCTCTACTTTGTGTCCTTCAGCAGATATCTATTAGCGTTACATTTTTCTGGATATTTTGCAAGAGAGCGGCTGTTTTTTTTGTTTCCTTTGAAGTTTTGCGCGGGAAATCAGCGCGGGTAGACCATAATTTATCCAATTGCGCATGCTAGACGTTTGACTTCTGCCTTGGTTCTATGGAAATAGGAAAGGAGCCGTGCCTCCCTTGGGAGGATCGCAGACCTGGACTGGGAAAACCGCCAAAATCAAGTCTACTAAGACCCAGGCAAGGGTTGATTCGACGGTCTGTTGTAACGCTTCTGCAACACTAGTTCCATTAATGATCATTTGTATCATAACTGAGTATAGCGGCATAAAGAACGATACTCTCTCTCAGATAAGAGTTAACGTTTGAATTTTGCTGCCAGGTTATCTGATTGGAAAAATCCTCATGTCCATGGTTGTTGCTAGACTTGCTGTTGCCATCGCATTCACACTGATTCACATTTTCACTGCAGAGATGTTTCCGACAACTTTGAGGTAATTAAGTGGCCCAGCACTGCTGAAAGGATTTTTTAAGCTGATCCGGCAAATTCTGTCACCACATGGAAAAACATATTCTCTTTTTCCTTCCATTTATATTATCATTTTATATCGTCACGTATTCGATAGATTAATTTAATTTCTCTTTAAGTTTGCGGTTTTACATGTGTAAAGACAAAGTTACCGTTTCTTTTCATTTCACAGACGCTATTTGAGCATCGACTGACTATTCTTTATTATTGTAGAAACCTCTAATGTGTTCGCGCAGCGCCCCGTAATGAGGCAACACTAAAGTGAGGCTATACTTACATTGACGTGCCTCATGCTCATCTAAATTATTTTTGTATGTGTTTGTGTTCTGGTAAAGGAATGTTGCCATGGGTACATCAACAGCTGCTGCACGTGTAAGCGCTTTTTTTGCACCCTACTCTATGCTTTTGGTAAGTGTGCAGCGTACTTACATCTTCTAAAGGTAGTCCGCTTACTTTAGTTGGGAAGTGATATCCACTGAGTACAACCCTTGCTACTACTTGAATCGCAAATAGCGTCTCAAAGTACAATGCAGCATGTCTGAACAGGGTATACGTAGCTGAATAAACACAATTTGTGAAGAACAGCAAAGAGTCACCAGCAAAGCACCAGCGACAATTTCTCCACCCCTACCATACTTTTAGAATTTTTAGCTGTTTAGATGGATTTCTTTGTATTCCTTCTGTGAACCCCGTCACAATATCTGTATCCCTTGATATTTGTGGTATCGAGAGCGACAATGAGAAGAAAGCTCAACTTTGAAAGGAGACCGGCGTAATTCAACAAACGGGGTATTTGTCGCCTGTACTAATACCTCAACCTCCTTTACTCAACAGACAACCGTCCACAGGCTTCTTCCGTTTGGATTAATGGCTGTTTTGGCTTTAGCAGCTGCTTTTGTTTGCCTCTCTCTCCCAGAGACTCAAAACCAACCAACTATGGAAAATCTGTTTCAGGACATAGTATGCCAACCGAAGAATGAAACACTTGGTGATGAGGAACTCGATACCGAACTCTGATAGAAGACCCAAGAAAATGAACCAAAACTGCATCGAAATCTGTTCTTTTAGCTAAACTCGGTTTTATAACATGAACTCACTAACCCTAGCTGTTGAGGCTTCATTGCTTAGAGAGGAACATGACTTAAGTGTTTTGAACCTAGCAAACAGAGCCGTGTGTTAACAAAAACAATTTATAATTATTAGTCTGGGAGATCGATAGTTTTTTGGCGTAGAGAGCTAAGTCGGTAAAGACACTAAGGTAGGTGCTACACGCACAAAAAGTGAAATTAATAAATTATAGTGCTCTTAAGAAAACACAAATCTGTGATGTTTGTATTGCATTACGTCTGGCTACACAAACAACAGCTCATCATTGAACGAAAACGGTTTTGGTTCAAGAAATAAACCCTAAAATAGCTCTTTCATGAATTTCAACAAACTTTTTTTGAACTGTAATTAACTAGAATATTACAATAATAAAATTTGGATGAACATCACGCTTTTGTTCTTTTAGAATAGCCGACAAACATCAGCAAAATGTTTCCGAAGACTGTTCCATAAGCTGGTACTAATATCCTACACAGATTCTACCGTTAACCTGTAACTGAAATGTATGGCCGTGGGAGTTCTGGGTACGAGACTAGCTGGTACTGTAAAGACCCCATAAACAATTGCTGGTCCCTAAGGAAATTTTTTTTTCGCCTTTCTCTAAAAGCCGAAAAACTGAGCATTCAAATCTGAAAATCTGATCGTGGCCGACCTTGAGATGCAATCCCAGTTTGCGAAATGAATAAATTTCTTAAAGGACCTAGCTAGATTTTTTAGTCGATCCACGTAAATCGTTTTAACCACTGGGCTTTTGAAGGCCGGAGCTGCTTCTGTGCTACCCGACTTGTGCTGACCGAATTTTCGAACAGTCGGATGTACAGTACTCAGGTCATACATTCCTTCCATTCACGCACGATATGCAGGCTTTCGAAGATTTTATACGGTTCCTTATTGTTAGTGTCCCTCATACATATCCTCCACTCAAGATGTTGCATGGCTGGTTCTGTACCCGGCCGACTCGCTTCCTGCGTTGTCACCCAGCCGTGGTATTTCATGTCGTGCTTTATTGTATGTGTTTTTGGCTATCGCTGTTTTCCATCGCAAACCAGTACAAGGACTGAGAATATATTCACAGTCATTTGTTTATCACTTGACGGGTTTATTTGGAACCAACATAATCGGTCAGCTCGGTTGGTAGAGCACTGCACCGGTATCGTTGAGGTCATGGGTTCAAATCCCGCACAGGCCTCAGTTTTTTTTTCCAAGCCTTATTTTCACTACTGCTGTTAACTCTTTAAACCCTAAGAGTGACTAGCATCTAATAACATCTAATTTCTCCTCACAATATCAGCCCTGAATCACACATTAAGGTCAGGAGAACCAAGAAAATGATTACCAAAAAAGAAGCTTTTGATCAGTAAATAAACTCTCCTTGTCAGCACCATAGAAAATGTTTAAAGGACAGTATGGAGAATATCCATAATGACATTACGTTTATGTCAGACTAGGGTCGTACCGGTAGATTCACCGATTTGGCTGAAATGTTGCATGCATGCTTGGTTAGAGGTTCTAATCATGAGATTGATATTT